TACGTTATATTATAATGATAAACGTTGCTGATTTTTTTTCAGAATACAGATATTTGCTTCTATAATATTAATTATTAGATGTGCAAGTGTGTTATTCCATTTAATTTTTATTATTTTTATTTATTTTTAATTTTTATTATTTTTATTTATTTTTAATTTTTATTATTTTATTATTTTTCTATAATTCAATTCTTTTTTTGTATTACTAATATTTGTTGTAATATCTAAAAATGTGCGATTGTTGTATGTAGGCATCAATAATGCCTTAACATATGAAATTGGTCGCATTCGAGGCTAATAATAACTTAATAATATCTAGTCATTATTAATCTCGAATGCGACCAATTTCATATGTTAAGGCATTATTGGCGCCTACTGTACACTATATGTGTGATTATTAAGATATAAAAATAATTACATCCTTCTATCTTTCATCATCAGATGCGATTATGCGTCCACATTCAGATCGTACATCCTCTAGCTGCGATACTAAAAGAGGCTCGCGGAAGGCACGGTTTTTCCGCGGAATGGAAAGAGAGGCGCGAGAGGGAAGATCCGGCCACCGCGCGTGCGAAACCTTCCCGAGAGATAATTTATTGGTCAATCAAAATGACGCATGGAGGTATAAGGTGACACGTCAGCGTACACGACTGACCATTAATTTTAATACCCGTCAGCATCAGATCCTCCGACGTTGCTTTCCACGTTCCCTCCTTTCCTTGCCATCTCTGTCTTTCTCTCTCTCCCCCTGCCTCTCATCCGCCGACGCCGACGGCGAACGCGTATCCATCGGCATCGGCTACCGTACGACTAATGCCCCGTTCACCGACGACAATCATCCTCGGAGATCTCCGGAGTCGCTCGATCTCTCTCACGGCCGCCACGAATTATTATCCTCCTCTTAATCCACAGCATCGGCCAACCGCGGGCGCCGTCGACCAGGTGAGACCGGGAAAAAGAATCATGCCGATGAGCGATATGATCGGAGACTGCCGCGAAGCACGGATAAATCGGTGCTACGCTAAGAACGCGTCGAGAGGAATGCGAGTGCGTGGATTGATAGCGCGCGCGCTCTTATCAGCGTGCGTACCATTGCGCCATCAAGCATCGGGACCAATCGTAGATTGTGCCACTGCACAGAAAAAAAATAAATGTCAAATCAAAACTTATATATTTCAACTAACGCGTTCATTGCTTCGTATATACGCAACAATTTATAATCTTCTTAGAAGAATTTAATAATTTTAAATTTCAACAATATTGCAGTCTTATTTTAATATTGTAATTGTCACCTCAAGAATATATAATTATTTGATTCTACTTTAAGAAAATTATAATTTTTGACTTAAAAATGTTATTTTCTATCGAACATTGTTTCTTTTCCATTCAAGAAAATTAAATCTTAAATCATAAGAATATATTTTTCTTGATTCAACTATATAAAATGGCTTCATTCAAGTAGGCAATTATTCAAGCAATTATATTTTTCTTTAATTAACGCAACATAATCTAATTTCAAGATTTTCATGTTAAAATTAAATATATTTTCAAAATAAGAATGCCCTTTTTTTCTGTGTGTTTATTCCGCGATACCATTGTTACTGTTTAAATAAGAATTTACAACGTGTCTACACGTACTGTCGTAAGTGCTGAGCATTATCAGCTGTTACAATAATTAATCTAACAAGTGTAGGCACGGAAGTGTCTAAAAAAAATTTTGAAAAATTATTTTGAAAAATTAAAAAAATAAAAAAATTTTTTTGTTATTGTTGTAAAGTACTCTTGAAGCCATTTAACTGTTAATTTGAAATTTTTTTTTTATCTCTTATAGTTTTTGAAATATTCATCTCGAAAGAAAAAAACCGATTTTTTGAAAGGGGTGTTTTACCCCCTAGACAAGCGTATAGGTACATATAAAAAAATATGTGTGTTATTTTTGTCTAGAAAACAACATATTAAAAGCTCATCAAAATATTATTTCACATTCAGAGAGACTTGCGAGCTCTAGGATATTTAAATTATGTTCTCTGAAAATATAATTATCCGCGTAAATTAATTCATTAACTAATCTCTGATTATCTTCTCAAAGATATTTATTGCACAGTCGTCTTATTGAATAACAGGGATGCAATGGAACTCGTTTATTACTTTATGGTAAGAGAAATAAATCCGTTAATGTCTTCAATTTCCTGCTTCAATCAATTAATATAAGAAGGCCAGCTACACAAGCAGCAGGAAATATTTAGATAATGATCCCCGCGTTTTCTTATCAGTCTAATAACCGGATTAAAAAAATAGTATTATTGCTCCGACTTTACCGGGAACGATTGCAAGAGAGCGTTCATTATAGATGTAGTTAAATACGTCGAAGTCGTTATTAGCGAGCAGAGCAAAAAGCGATCTAATTTTACGTACAATGATTTATGATTAAATCCATCGATCGATAATTAAACGTGCGATTTTGAAAAGAAAACTCGTAGTCAAAAACGATTTGACGTTTAAAAGAATTCGATAAGTGGCCTAATTTTCAATGTCCGACTCTGCATTTGAATAGGCAGATCCCTATCGAGTGTCCAAAGTAGCAAAAGATCGTTGCACAAGCGAGACCCAACGAGATGGATGCATAATCGAGAGCCTGAGTCGCCCCTCCCCTCGTTCGCAAGGAATATACGCGTTTCTTCAAGAATGTCGAGAGCGGGTCGTCCGGGGTTAATGCCTGCATAAACCTCCCTAACGCGCATCCGCTTTTCTCTTGACTTGTATCTCATTTGTAAAGATTCCGGGACAAAGGAGCAGGAGCGCGCGATCGTCTTTATGGATCTGGCGTGGCGTTTGACCCCCTCGCCCCCTGTCCGAAGACACATCCACCGGACGTACGGACAGACAGAAGCGCGAGTCTGTCAAGTACCGCGATTCTAATCTGACAGGGACGTATTGGGCCTGCTGACCGGATCCCGAGGAGTCAGTCCGATCTTCGGCTATTATTAGTCACCGACGAGAGAGAGAAAGAGAGATACCTGGGCATAGATTTCCATACATTCCCGGCGCCGAAACGCGGTCGATTCCGGCATTTAATCGTGAAGTCCGAGCACGGAAAATCAACGCGGCGATGGATTCGAGGACGACTAGATTATTTAACCCTATGTAATATATGCTGTTTTGAGATTATATATAAAGTTTTCGAACAAGAAAATTGTTTGTAAGGAATCTTGACACGAAATATTCCTCATTTATGTAAATAGGAAACAAAATTGATGAAATTTCTGAATACAATTGAACGTTAATATTTATCACTTTCGTTTACAGTCTGTAAGATAAATTACGATTTAGTATAAATTATGCGAATCATTAATTTTCTAGATTTTACTAACTTTATTTCAGAATTATAATAATGACTAGGCATTTTTTTATATTCCGTTTTAAGGAAATTTTACTAGGTCAAGGCAAAAAATGTTGATACATCTAATCGTCGTAGCGAGTCTTAAAGAGAGCCATTTCTTCTCGTGGACAAGGGTAACGGAAGTCTAGTCGAAAGTGACTATCGTCGATTATTCGTCATGTCAGTCCTTCCACTCTGCGTAGCTTGTACGTTAATGTTACCTATTACTTACCGGTTGTCCCTTTTGACAGCTGCGTTCGAATTTCTCGATGTGTCTCTCGAATATCTTCGATTTTCAGCCTTCGAGAATTTTCGGTGACAACAATATTTGACATTCAATGATAATCTTCTACGCTAAATTTTAGCTAGTTTAATTTTATCTCAAATATAATTTCATTTTTATTCTACTAATAATTTTATGAGAATATGAAATATTTATAGAGCAAATATTATAATTGTTATATCATAATCATTTACTCTATAAATGTCTCATAATAATTATATTATTTTTAACCAACATTAATTTTGATAAAACGTTCCAGATAATAGATTCGTTATATATAATTTTTTTCAGGAAAATTCAATATTTTTCAATAAAAGTGATATAATAAAGAGATATACGAAAAATATCGGAGACAAAACAGAGTTTCGCAAGTGGACAGCGACAGAGCCGGGTTAAATGAAGTATGATACACGCGTTAATCTGATACCACTCACGATCAGCGTAACGCAACACACGCAACGCGTTTACGGTATAACGTAGGCGTGGCTGGCGTGATATCAACGATGGCCACCTTTTGACTGTAAATCAATCGATATCTCGTCGGCAGGAGGGGCCTTCCATGGAGTCCGCACGGTGTCTGAAACGAGCCGGGGGTGGAAAGCATGCGCCAAATGCTGAATGCGAATCGACCCGCCCCGTCGCTTTCATCCCTATAGAGATGATCCCCGACTATCTTTCTTGCTCTCGTTTTATATCACGTTAGTGTGGTTGAAAATATATAAAAAAATCTGTATCTGACGATTTTAAAACAGTTTTAATAGTGACACAAAAAGTTAATATTAAATAAACATAATTTAAAAAATTATTTCTATAAATTATTCTACTTGAAAATATAATTCTATTTATAATATATTAACAGTAATGATGTCTTACAACATGGTATGACCAATGCCTATATTAATGTAAAAGTCAGTTTATATTTGACTTTTACATTAATATAGGCAATTAAATTTATATTTGACTTATTAACTGTTTTAAAAAACTGAAGATATTTTTTTAAATATATAATCTTGATGGAAAGGATAATTTTAAACATAGCTTTATTATTAAAAAATTTGTTTGCAATTGTTTTAATTTTATAATCATGTTAATTTTTAGATAGATATGAAAAAGATTTGCAAAAACGTTTGATAAATCTAGTATTATTTAGATGTAATATGAAATGTTGTTTTTCGTTTCGGTGACACTCATTTGCATGTTGTAATCATCGATTGCGACATGTCTCGCAAATGACATGTCACATAATCATTTATCAATCAGACTTTCGATTTCGCAGCCGTCGTAGATTATACTTTACCTGAGCAAACGTTCACGTGACGGGGAGAGATAAGTGCTGATAAAATAAATCATATTCGATGGCTTGATAATTGGGAATATTTAATTCGAATTTAAATAATCTTACAAGTATCAGTTGTCGCGTGATCGTTCGTATGATCGCTACGATTCACACATATATGTAAATAAATAACTAAGTTATATTTTTAAACAGTCTATATCGGGACACGCCGCCGCTAAGTGATAAATTATGTACATCGCTCCGTCGATTACATATACAACACACCTATACATAGCTCATCTCTATTTGTGTGTGTGTGTGTGTGTGTGCTTCTCTTTCTATATATATAATATTCTATTGCACATTGCAATCACTCCACAGTTTTTCTTCGCGAGATATAATATCTTACATTTTTACAATAAATTAATGTAAAATCTATTTCCCCGCTCTTTCTTTTTTACTCGCTCGATTCCTAATCTTTCTCGTCGCGAGGCGATTCCGTACGTTTCGTGTAAATAATATTGCCGGAAAAATTACAAAAAATGGCACTTGTTAATCTCCTTCGTGAAAAATTAACCGCTGCATGCCATCGCAGTACGCTAATCGAACACATTTTATTTTTACTTTAAACTGGATCAAATTTTGTACGCGAAGATTACGCAGTAAGAATGAATATTCTTGTTGGAAATAAACTTTTATGACAATACAAAATATCCCGGAAAATCTGGTTGGATTTGCGGTATATCGTGTATCATTTTTCTGAAAATCAAAATCTGATCCAACCAAGTGGATGCTGCGATCTAGGAACGTGTGCCGTAGTTTTTATATTATTTCTTCTCGCCCCTTTCAAAGCGATGGCAAGAAACGGCGAACGACCGTAACTTATTTACGTAGCCATCTCGGTAACTAACTTTTTCTCACTTTTTTTCGATTAATTGTCGAACGAAGGCGAGCGACATACGCCAAATGCTGCTTTATCGGAAGCTCTAATTACAGAACAAGAATTCCTCGAGTTGATTCGTTTGCTGTCTAACGAGTTGCCACTCTAGTACATCTAACGAAATAAATACTCCAGTCTTTCATTTTAAGGAAGAAAAATGGCAGACCATAGGCTTTGGGCCCGCTCAGAAAGCTTTCCTTCTTACCATCTTTTTGGCCAATATGACTCTTCAAAGTATAATATAGGACATATTTATTTTCTTTTTTTTCTTAAATAACACGAAAATTTACACCGCTTTGGTTACTTATGACTTGCTTTCAAAAACTTGCATAATTGAAAAAATTAACAAAAATACTTTTTATGTATTCGCATTCTCTTTTGCAAAAATTATTCATTAAAGAAAAGATCAGGTCGAGATTTTAATATTGTCAAATAATTTTTAATTCGTATTTGAAAACATTTTTTATTCCAACTATCTAAGTGTATTTTAACTTTGCCAGAGATCCTATTTTTCCTTCTCTCCATTTTTTCTCAAAAATTCTCGCGCGAAGGATTAAAAGGAAGTAAAGAGGATAATTTGATTTTCGCTTATAGCATCTTTGGGGTCAGATACGAAATTTAGGGCTCAAAGTTACATACTAACATTTTGTCGTTTCTGTTTAAGTCTGCATACGTCATTTCGCTTGGAGCTCCGCAGCTTGTTCCTCCTCCTCTTTAGTGAGTGGTACCGTCGAGTGATTATAAAGTCCCTGTGCCATCAGCTGGAGCGCGAGAGGATTTTTCTGGCCGCTGGCCTTTTTGATTTTCGCTCTCTTGTTCTGGAACCAGATCTTGATCTGCGCCTCGTTCAAGCCCAGATCCCTCGAGAGCTGCTGCCTCCGTCTTTCCGTCAGGTATCGGTTCTCCGCGAATTCCCTCTTCAGCCTCGCCAACTGCTCTCCGCTAAACGCCGTCCTAGGACGTTTCTCTTCGGGAGTACCGCCGCCACGTCCGTCTGTCCTCTTCACTCTTCTCGTGCGCGGACCTGCAACACGGGATGATCCTAGCGTTAACTCATATCTGTCAATATTTTCATCCAAGGACATTTATGTAGGTAAAATTGAGTTTTTCGCAAGAAATTACGTCGCACTTAAACTAGTCAATGTTTTTTGTGGGAAAGATGGATACATAGATATATATTTTTATGTGAATACAAAATTTTCCTAAAACTTATTTCATGAAGCTGGCTTCTATCTCTCCGCAAATGTTATCTGATAAACTCAGATTCATGAAATAAGTTTCAGGAAAATTTTGTATTCACATAATCTCTTACAGATGACAATATGTGCAATATGTAAGCATTCCCTAGTAGCACAAACATTGGCAAAATATTGATATACCTCGGTTCAATATTGGTCATATTGGAAATGTCTCGGTCAATATTTCCCAATGTAAAACTAATATTGATTGTTAAAATGCAAGTGTTCTGCCAATATTGCCTATGATGACCAATATTGGCTACTAAATATAAATGTGTTGCCAATATATGGTTGCATCCATTATAATACCAATATTGGTTATAAAGTAAATGTAAATGTGTGCAAATATTGCACGTTCAGACATTATATGAGCTTCGCGTCGCCACTAGGTGGAAAACATCTAACCCGAGAATAGGATCTAAAGCATCTAAAGCAGTATATAAGACCGAGACACAGATCCCACGAATCACGACTTATCAGTCAAAGAGTGCGGCTTATTATAACCGCACCTCCTCTAGCTTTTGCAAGGAGCTCCATAAATTAATCACAGATGGTTAATTTTTTTTTATGGCGAATTCCATCATATATTAAAAACTGATCTATATAAAAAAATAAAATCAAACGTAAAAATATTTGGATATGTATAATTAGCCAATCTTGGTTAAAAAATGAAAATAATATATTCGTCCAATATTACAATTCAATATATTGGCTCAAAATGAAATCGCGTCTACTTTACAATTTCCCATGGGAAATATTGAATATATATTGTTAGCCAATATTGCTGCAATAAAGTGTGCTACTAGGGAAGGCTCAGATGTTAAGCAATAACTTCACATAATATCGCTGTATAAGGTCTCGTTCAGACATTGATTCAGCAAGTTTACACGCCGATAAATCTGAGAAATTAACGAACCGCCGGTCAGCAAGTTTTATGACAAGTTTTATTGTCTAGGCTGTCTCGAGTGTTTTTCCCTCGGCGTGTTTGCGCACCTCGGGTCTAGGTCCGGTTATGCGTGAGTGTCTTCTATAACAAGCCGGTTGCTTGGGAGGAGCCGGGGTCGGAAAGTTCGTCGACGGAATAAACGTCCGACTGGAAGGATCCTCCCGCCGAGACGAAGTAAATCCTTCGGTCTTTCGGTTCTTGCGTTATCCGCGCTGCGGATGTGCGTTCGCGCGGAATCATTATGACGTACCTGGCAGCGACGGTTTTAAATCACGCGCATTGTTATTGCCGCCACGTTGCGTGTCTTAGGCTGATGGCAGAGAACGAGACGTAAGCGCTTACGTCTCGTTCTCTGTCATCAGCCTTACGCGTGTATAAACACGCGCATTTCAGTCACCGCGGTGTCGTTATTTGCATGTTTGCTTGTTTATTGGCATGTTTTCTTGAGGGACTGATTGATTACGTAGGCGACAAAAATATAATGCTTACTCTTTTCGAATATCAAGATAAGAGGAAAAATGACAAAAAATCTTATAATTGCAGTAAATATGATTTTTCAGAGATAATTATAATTACAATTAAAATCTAAGAAAAGTATTTCAAATTCGACCAAGTTATTTGCTGAAAAATGGAGTCTCTGAAGTTAAATTTGTTTCAGATTGTCACGTATTCTGTGAAGAAAACACACGTCTCGCCCCCGCACACAAACAAGGGCCACGCAAATATGCGATTCTAAACGTGATTCACCCTTTTCCCCGCAGTGACTGCTTCTCTCTTGTGTGATTCCCGCACGATAATAATTCACGAGGTAAACACTGCGCACCGCCCCGCACGGCACGAACGTACCGAGGTTTATTCGCGCAGCACCGGCGGCTGTGTAATTGCGTATAAATCAAATCATAACGATCAACACCGGCGTTATCAGGCGGACCGATCTACTGAATATTCCGTGAAAATTTCGAGACCGCCGCGAATCATCGACTTTCGCGCGAGAAATCATACGTCGAAGGAAAGAACATACACAGAAAAAAGGACATTCTTGTTTTGAAAATATATTTAGTTTTAACATGGAAATCTTGAAATGAGATTATATTGCGTTAATTAAAGAAAAATATAATTGCTTGAATAATTGTTTACTTAAATGAAGCCATTTTATATTCAGTTCAATCAAGAAAAATATATTTTTTAGATTTAATTTTCTTGAATGGAAAAGAAACAATATTAGATAGAAAATAACATTTTTAAATCAAAGATAATTTTCTTAAAGTAGACTTAAATAATTATATATTCTTGAAATGACAATTACAATATTAAAATAAGACATAATATTATTGCGTATATACAAAACAATGAACGCGTTAGTTTAAGTATATAAGTTTTGATTTGACTATATTTTTTTTCTGTGTATAAATTGACATCTTTTTTTGGTATTTCAGATTGTATACGAATGGCTTCAAGCTATCGATCAACATTATACATTTATATCTGTCTTTAGAAGATAACGAAATAGGAGATTAAAAAAATGCGCGAAATTAATATGTTTTACATACAAAGATACAAATTATTACAAACAGTAGATATCAGTAAACGTGTTATATATTTTTAAAAAATATACCATTATTTATCTCATTTAAATCATTAAATTGTTTCTTGAAAATATGTAGAAATTATTTATTTAAAAATTTTATTTAAAAAAAGCAAAATTTTCGCTTATTCGAATTCAAAATTGACTATATATTTATCTTTATTCATATTATATATTAATATTATAATATATATTCGTATTATTTTATAAATGGCTCCTTTAATTTTCTCAAAGATATTATATGCTCTTTTGTGAACATGTCAGAAGTTATTAGTTCTAAATATTAATTTTTGTGAAAACCGTCGCAATGAGCATAAAATATCACAGGGGGGAGAATTATTCGATTACGATCTATTTACCGTCAAACAATTTATCTACGAAGTAAGGCTTTAACGATCGGCCGAGAGAGATGAGAAATTATAGGCTTGCGGAGTATAAGTTGCATTGCAAATGATAATTATCGAATGTTGTGTGTTGCGCGGTAGTATAAATTACTGTCGACCAACGAGGGTCGTCCGGCACGTATGAGTTTCGAAGTGAAAACGCGTTTTACAACGCGTAATCATTCAAAGCGAAGATCATAGTACGCAAGCTTTAAGTAATATTATCGGAAAAGCAGTTTGTTCCGCACGATCAAGCATCCGCGCGTCGAGACTTGAGTCGTTAGTTTCCCGTCTCTGATTGGCTCTTACAGACCGGCTCTTACGGCCGCGATCGATTTCTATACACACGTGTGTGGTCATAAAAAATCGCCGTAAGAAATTCATCTTCGTCGAATGGCTACTCGATGGCGTCTATAAAATATCTTGCAAGGTTGCGACTGCTCACCATGTCGCTATTTTTTTTGCCTCGTTTCCTCAGACACGTGCCGGTATTTAAATAGAAATAAAAAAATACTCTATCAACATACGTCGTGTTACACCGTGTTTATTAAATAGACGCGATATTTCATGCGAGCTTAATCGCATATCTAATCGGAAAGATTAAAAAAAAAAAAACTGTCGTCGAATTTCGTGACTTTCTCTCGGAACAAGAGTAAAATTTCGGTGCACATAAGGAAGCAAAATATATATAAAATATAAATAAAATATATATAATAAAATATAATTATAATAAATATAAATATATAAAATGTATATAGAATAAAAAATAAATATAAAATAAAAATAAATAAAATAAAATATAATTATAATAAATAAATATAAATATATATATAATAAAAATATATAAAATATAATATATATAAAATAAAAAATAAATATAAAATAAAAATAATATAAAATAAATATAAAACAAAAAAAAATAATTCTTGGAAACTATGCAGCAAATCGCCAAGCTTGCTCATAAGAGTGTAGTAGCCAGTTGCATTAACGCGTACCATCCTTGGCAGTTTTCTCCTCCTCAGGAATGACTGAGGTAACGAACAGTCGGCAGTCTAATTACTTAAGCGAAGCGGTCTCGTAGTCAAGCGTAGGAAACGGTGAAGAGCATCTCTCGCACTCTCCACGAACTCTCTTCTCCTTCACACCCTTCTCACTTACGGTAATCCCTCTCCAAAGACTCTCGAGGGTAAAACCAATAATGCTAAGACGCTCTCTCGCTCCTGTTAAGCGCAACCCCAAAAGCATCTCGAATACCGGCGACGCGCGGCTTCGCTAGAAACACTAATTTTCCTTGTCCTACTCCTCTGAGATAGACGTCAGCTCGTAGTTCGGCCTGTCAGTTTAATTACATTTTTTTCTGCCGAGTACAATCGTGCAACTCGCCAGGTGACATTTACATTGCTAATCAGCTGGATCGTATAACACGGGACACGCATTAAGTGATTAAAATAAAAATTCCAACAATACGTTGATTGCTCGTTTACATGCGAATCCTTTTATGATAAAACGCGTAACAAGATTCGACTTTTATACTTTGAGAATGAAAAGGTGTAACGAATTCTCAGGGTTAACGTCAATATAAATTACTAAAAAAGTTTACTTAAAATTTGGCGAAATTGGCTCCAAAAATTAGCACTATTTTTCTCGGTCTATTCTTGAGATAGATACGTCAGCTTCTGGCTTCCAGTTTCTCCTTCGGGCAACTTTCGCGTAACGAATTGACAGCGCTGTGTTCTACGACCGCCCTTTCAGTCCGCTACTCGACTTGCTCGTCACGTTGCTTTTAATTACATCCGTATCGGCAGAACCGAGAAGACAGCGCGGAGAGAACGAGAAGGGAGAGTAAAATGTCTAGAATTTGTTAAAAATGATCTGTAAATTACGATGGAATTCCGCGAGGAGCAAATGGCCGACGATCGTGTTCGGAGAGCGAATTATTTCGTATAGACATTAAAACGAAATTGATCCCGATGGAACGGGAATTGTAGAAAATTCGAACTATATGTATTTCGTGCAATTAGAATGTAACGCAACAGAAAGGTGTTGCGAGATTAATAACAGAACATTTCAGATATATTTAACCCAGTCTCTCTCGAGAAATATGAGAACATAAATTATCAGATCGCGAAAAAAGAACCTAAACGTAGAAAGCCAGATTGTAATAGCAATTGATTAAATTAGAAAGTGCGAGACAATACGCCAAGAATTTTAGAAAATTTACGCAGTCATGAATTAATAATAATCTCTCAACGCGTGGCTATCTCGCTTAAATCTCACATATTTCATCTTTTAGCGCGGATGTCAAACGTCGTTCAGGCCGTGATAATTATAAGGTTTAAGGGGATCCCTCATTGAAATGAACTTTTACATAATTACAGCGCCCTCATCTAATCCTCATCCCATATCTCTCTCTATCAGGTTATTTATAAACAAGTTACACTGCTTTTTCTACTCTATTGTACCGATATTTCAGGTACATATGGACCGAAATTTTTGGGCACATGCCATTTATTAATTAGACTACTAAACTCAATTTTCACAGTTCCATAAGTTTTTATTGTGCAGTCCACTATTGGGTATGCTATTGTTTTATGCATAAAAGTTACAAAACATTTATACAAGGCTAATGTTTTTATGAGGTGATAGCTTTAGATGCCAGGTTGATTTAAGAAGTCGATAAATAAATATATAATTTTATACTTTCTTTTCTTTCTCAGTATATAATCGGCTTCCCCGTGTCCTTTTGCATCTACACTTCAACCGTAGAAAAGGATGTTTAATTCTATGCAGGCAATAAAAAATGGCACATGCCCAAAAATTACAGTGTTTTGTCGATAAAAGATAGATTGAGAGATCCCCTTAAGAGCTTTCCGTATAAATCGAAAAATTGATAATTGTCGATGCAATTCTCTAGATTCTAGAATGGAAATCTCTCTGGGCCGATTAATCGTTTCTGGATAGATCAGACGCGACTATCCGTAATTAAGTAAGGGTAAGTGGTAGGCAAAGTGAGTCGTATGATTACGAATCGCATAGGCTTTATAACGAAACTGTCGAAGCGCCACTCGACTTGCTCGTCACGTCTTTTTTAATTGCGCGGTCACCATCGACAGATCGCCGGAAGGGAAACGTCAATGAGGCCAACCACGCACGATGATTGTAGCTGCGGATGTATTAAAATTGCGCGAAGTGATGCAAGTGACAAGCTGCGCGCTTGATGTACAAAGTTGTCCGGATGGAAAGCGCGGCCGCGTGTTCATTTGATTCGCATTTAAGTATTCATGACTCGAAGGCGGTTGTCCCCGGCTTGTCATCCGGTGTCATCCGATAATTACGGCGGCAATCTAGCTAACTGATCGCTTAATGATAAGCTTTCGTCGCGCGAAAGACAAGCAATAAATGATTATTACATTTTAATAAAGCGCGTTCATCGCATGAGAAGCGACTTTCTTCATTGCCCTTTTTTTTTTGCGATGTCGCTAAAATCTCCATCATGTACTTTGTGCTTTTTTCCCCTCATTTTTTTCGATCGATGCGTAAATATTATCAGATGCGTAAAGATTGATCAAATTGAAATGTATTTTTTCATCTAATTATTAATCATTTATAATTTCGAAAACATTATGATATACTTTTCTATTATATTATTTCTATTACATTATTTTATTCATATGATTCTATTACATATGATGTACTTTTCTATTATATATTTTTTGTAAATGTAATATATTCCAATAATTTTAATTATTATTATTACACATATATTGAAGTTAAGACATTAGTTGACGACCGTTTTGTGAAAGAGATAACGTTAGGTATAAAGTCATTTAATAATTAACGAGGAAAAGTCTTTCTCTTGTATTTATATTATTTTCTTCATTACATTCATTATTGGCCTGCCCAGTAATGAATGCATTGAACGTTAAATCAGCGTCCTGAAATTTATCACCGATAATTATTATCCTCGTTAAAAGGCAGCGGGTTAACAGAATGATATAAAGGAAGACGACGCGTCATTAAGTCATTAAGGCCATTGACTCGGTGTAATTGACGAAGACGCACTTTGGCCAATTTTCATCGATTAGTCGCGCAAACTCGATAATGACTCCAGCTACATCAAATAAAAGCGTAATGTAATAGTTAAAACGAGACCCTGATGTTAATTTTATATAAAATTTTGAATTTTAATCATTTTATTTCTTTCTCTTTACCATGTTTTCCTATTATCTAGAAATACTTCCTAAATTATTTAATCGGATATGGTATTTAATTTAGATGGCAATAAAATTAAACAGAAAAAAATACCGATAAAGTATAAATAATTATAAGTAACGAAAATATCGAAGCTCAAAGATTGGCCGATCAGAATCGCGTTTTCTCGTCGGAACGATCGACTAACCGTGCAAATAGCTGCGAGATCGTTTGAGAAGAGCTCCGAGAGTCGATCGACCCGTCTTTTCCGTGAATCTGATCGCTCTGTCCTTGTGCAAGTTATACGTCGAGATATAGAAACGAGCTCGGAGCCGTGAGTGGAGTCGCTTGAGTTATGACTGCGACCATTACTTGGGACAAACGAGGCTAAGCGTGTCGACACGAAGCCGAGCAGGCGGCCAGCAGGTCTTAGTCGATTCTCCCAAGTCATTCCTCGACTTACAAGAATTACGAGAGCTCCCTCGATTTCTCTCTCTCTTTCTTTCTCGAGTCGCGAGGTTCTGTCGAGTGCACGCAGCTCCCGATTGACAGTTTTAAGGCCCCATCGTTGACTCGTATCCAGGCTCTCGTTATCCAGGACGCGAATTCCGCATAGACGCTTTATGTATTTCCTACGTTCGCCGCGAGCAAATATACGATATCGCGAGCAGAATAGCGATACCTTGTAACCCACATTTTCGAATTATTTATGTTGCGAGGTTTTTGCGATTTGCAGCTGTTCTCGCTGCAACGATGGTATTTTAAGAGCATAAATGGCTAGAATACGTCGGGATGAAGTATGACGAGAAAGGAAGTTTATGGCAGTGCGTTGAAGAGGATATTAATACTTCTCCACTTAAAAGATTTCATTTTGAGTCAAGTTATAGCATAAGTACAGAAAATGGAACAAAGTAGAAAAGTAGGTCCCTAGAAGGTTAACTAATACAAATACTTTTATGACTGCTCGTAAAAATAATAATATATCTCTTGAAATAACCACGATACTTTTAATTAAGACTAAGTAAACGTATCGTTAATCTACATTAATTTAATTATGTAATAACGTCATATGTTGAAATCGCAAAAAAAAAATGGAAGTTAATGTCGTCTTACGTTTTGATGAATCGATAAAGCACTGGATATCCATACGCGTCATTGAGATATCGATTAAACGCAGAAATGTCAGCGATCGGGCAAGCTTACACAATAAGCGTAATAATGGCTTCTTTCAGAAAAGCTCACGTTCCCCGATGCCATTTCGTCATTAGTCTCGTCTTAGCCCGAGCACGGCTCGTAACCGCCGTGGGTCGTTACTTACTTCGTCCTGAGAACAAAAAAGAAAAAACACACCAATTAAAACTCCTGTCCTACTGTACGTACAACTTCATTAAATACATTTTACATTTATTCATTCCAGACACAGAAAAAAAGGACATTCTTGTTTTGAAAATACATATATTTAGTTTTAACATAGAAATCTTGAAATGAGATTATATTGCGTTAATTACAGAAAAATATAATTGCTTGAATAATTGCTTACTTAAATGAAGCCATTTTATATAGTTCAATCGAGAAAAATATAATCTTATAATTTAAGATTTAATTTTGTTGAATGGAAAAAAGAAACAATGTTAGATAGAAAATAACATTTTTAAATCAAAGATTATAATTTTCTTAAAACAGAATAAAATAATTATATATTCTTGAGGCGACAATTACAATATTAAAATAAGACTATAATATTGTTAAAATTTAAAATTATTAAATTCTTCTAAGAAGATTATAAATTGTTGCGTATATACAAAACAATGAACGCGTTAGTTTAAGTAAGTTTTAACACTTTTTTTTCTGTGGAATCTTCTTTTTCTCATACAAGATGTCAGACATTGTTAATGCAAATATTAAATGTCGATATTGAATGAAAACTCTATATAAGAAATTTTTAATTCTCTTAAAAATAATCTCTCTTAAAAATAACAAAAATATACATATAATTATTATATTAAATTATAATAATTATATTAAAGCTTCAATTTTATTTTATTAAGTCGATATTTATACATGTAAATTTTAGGACTTTTCGTTTGCTTGAAATATTAAAATGCCGTTTGTATTATGTAAGGTTTGCATCTGCTCGCAATTGGATCTCCCACGAGATTTTTGTTAATGTGTTTCGAGTTAATATCTACATCTATAATCTATATCTAATCGCATGAAAAGTGTAATCATTTGGTCTGTGGCTATATCCATAACTATAAATAATGATCACTCGTCGATCGTTAGCCGAGCATTTACGTTTCCACGGGCCATTAACTCGTTTCCATTAAGGCGCGGCCTTGCCTATCTCTTTTTTCTTATCGCCTTCTTTTCGTTCATTTTCTTCGCATTTTTACATACATCTAAAATCGCTTACCATTCGATTTTAGATGCACGGCACATGTAACTTTATATTACAACAATTTCTGAATATGATATTTTTTAAATAATATTAAATTATTAAAATAATTAAATTTATTTAATTTGAAATAATATAAAACATATTGCCAATTTTTGCGTGTAAAAAATATTTTCTGAGAAAATTATTATCATTAAAAATCATTCTAATAAAATAATAATATCCATTTTATGTGAAATTTAACATCACAAACTATTAAATTACTTGAAGATTTGATTTTTAAGAGATATATATTTTAAGAAATTTTTTTATTTTGAAGAGAGAGAGAGAGAGAGAGAGAGAGAAAAATTAAAATTTTAAATGTAATAAGATGCTGTGAAATGTATAAAAAAGATTTGCAAAATTTGCAAGAAAATTGAACACAGAAAAATCTTTTTTTTTAAGATGAATTCTTTTGCATAATAAGCATCAAAAGTTACGAGCAAAAGACATTTGCAAGCAATACGTAGTTCAAAAAGACGATTAATGGCTTCATTGCTACGCCTTCGATGCAAAAGTACCGGTTCTGCCAACGAGACCGCCTCTTTCTTATCCGCCTCGTCATTTATACATCCAGCTTCCGATCTTTCTCTCTCTGATTTTGTTATCTATTCTCTTTGCAAAACCCGATTAAGAATATATTTTAAGCAACGTAAATTTTAGTTCAGTCTTTAATTATCGACTGTGATTATTTGTCATTTCTTATAAATCTACAATTAGTTGATATTTAGAATCATATCAAAATGTTCATTATCACGTTTGTATTTTATTATGTATATTATGTAATACGTATATATTTATTATATATGTATTTTTATGACCGTATCATTTATTAAGTTGTCCTGTGGCGAGAAAAATTTGTATCTTGGATGGTGTAAACTTTTAGAAAGCATCGATTCGTACTAGATCCAAGTGCTTACATGGCGAGACAGGAACTATAATCCCTCACGTCTTTTGCCATTTAGATTTCATGTAACCTCGATGTTATCTCGGGAGGAAAGTCACTTCGTAAGGATCATTGCGCTCCGACGTACAGTCACGATCGCTATATTGCTACACGGCATCGTGTCTTATTGTGTGTTGTAGGCGTTTGACCGGTACCAGGAGATCTTTATCGGGTCCTCTCGTGATTATTATTATTATTATTATGTTATATAGGGATTACTTGCAGTCTCCTATTCCCCCTCTAACGAAGCGATAGGCATCAAGAGCCAGGTTATCGCGGAGATAAGCGTGCGAGGTTTCGCGGGTTAATGTTACCGACGAAATAATTCATCAGGCGCGGGATTATTCGCAACATTGTTTCTCGTATCGTGGAAAAGCTTGATATGCACCGTTAATAATTATTACGTTACGCGGATCGAGTTATCGCGCAGATCATCGATTGTCACGTTGCGATTATATCGTTTAGCATTTACCTTGTCTTTCGGGATGAAAACACGAGAAGAAAAGCACGTGCGCGAAACTCCGGTAGCTGTAACCCTTTTAACGCGCTGGTGATTATTGTAAAGGTGAGTTGTAGAAATTCGATATACAACGAAGTATATTTACTGAACGTAAGATCTTGATCACAGAATAATATTGTAATCATTTTTACAAAGTTAAGAATATCTTTTAGAAAGAGATTTCGCAAGAAATGTTTTAATTTGTATATTTTGTTTAGAATTTAAAATCATAGTGTTTATTCTGTCTTCGATTGAAAATGAATAATGTAAAATGTGAAATATTACGTGTGAAATATGCAATATTGACTACGACAATATAATATTGAATATCAAGATGGAAATTTTTAATACAAGCTGTGTCATTTCTTTGTCTCATACATAATTTTTAAATTTTTAGAACTTGTAATATGCACAGAAAAAAGGACATTTTTGTTTTGAAAATTTATTTCGTTTTAACATGAAAATCTTGAAATGAAGTTATATTGTTAATTAAAGAAAAATATAATTGCTTGAATAATTGCTTACTTAAATGAAGCCATTTTATATAGTTGAATCAAGAAAAATATATTCTTATGATTTAAGATTTAATTTTCTTGAATGGAAAAGAAACAATGTTGGATAGAAAATAACATTTTTAAATCAAAGATTATAATTTTCTTAAGATAGAATTAAATAATTATATATTCTTGAGACAATTACAATATTAAAATAGGACTAATATCGTTGAAATTTAAAATTATTAAATTCTAGGAAAATTATAAATTATTGCGTATATATACGAAACAATGAACGCGTTAGTTTAAGTATATAAGTTTTGATTTGATACTTATTTTTTTTGTGTGCAAAATCATAGAGAAATATAGAGCAAACATTGCGAAAAGAAAAACATGTTTAAGAAACATGACAAGTGAATAGATTTATCTCGATACGCATGATTTGCGTCTTTGAAGTCTATCTTATGATTATCGATTTATCGGTTATTAGCTTGCAAGAAAATTAATAACATTTTTATTAGGATAGTATAATTACGATAACAACATCGTTTTCCCGCCAAAAGATATTTCAGACACCAACGATGACGATTAATCGAATTAAAAGTGTCACGGGTCTTGGGAGATATTTTTGACACTTGAGATTTTGACATCTATACATATAAAAAATTCCCATCTAACAATTAATATTATCTTTAGAACTCTCTAAAGTTTCTAAAAAAAATTACAGATATACGTAAAATAAAATTTTAAAAAATTTGGATCTAAATAAAATGTTTATCGCTTTATCAAAAACACCAAGAGCTTTGTTAGATCCTTCGTTTCATTACGTGCAATTTATTATTTCGTTAAATTTCTGTATTAAATAAAGACGAGGGATATTAAGGTCGAGATGCAACTCTCGTCTCGCTCGCGGCTTACTTCTGATAAAGGCTGCGTATTTCCGTGTGCGTTTTTTTCGTACATTCTCTTCCGTATTATTTCTCCGCACGTGCAGTCCGTTTCCAACCGTATTTTCAAATGCATGACATTATCGTGCCTCGTTGAACGCGTTGAGATATAAGGGTAAGGAATGCTACGTGTGATTGCTTGTGCTATCATAAATTATATTCCCCCTGGCGATTTTCTGTTAGATGCATATTTGACATTTAACCCTCGAGATTTATTTTAAAGTAGATAATATCAACTTTGCCGACTAATTTATGGAAATTGATTGAATTCAAAGACGGCTTCTTATACTTTTTATCACGCTATATATTCTAATATATATATATATATATATATATATATATATATATATATAATATATTTTTTTTCTTTCTTATTTCTCATGATTATTGTATGTATATATATGTAAGCATGAATATCAACAGAAATTATCAAATAGTAATCATTCCATTGTGTTTTAAATTGTAGCATATCGCTATGTGCATAACGCGAATGTTCTTATCGGCATTTCTTTAATTAAAGACAAGCTATAATGATTATTTCCTTTCTCTTTGGAATACAAATGCGCGTGATTAAATACATCATATCGAGACTCGCATTCTCAGATCGGCTGTAAATGTTTTCTCAACAGATACTTCCAATAGGATATTAGATTTTAATCGTTTCTCTCCTCATCGAGATCGTTTCCTGACGCGTAAATTTAGCAATTTGATTAAATCCATGGACACGTTTCTCGTACACTTTCCCTCGGTCGGAGTCATGTTTATCTGATCCCCGGTCGAGTCAATACAACGAGAATGCGGTGCAATTAGTATCTCATTAGACAGCGCGACTGTTCTAATTTCTTAGTTTCGCATTAGAAACGTCACTCCGGCGTGGAACGTAACGTGACGTTCCCTCGTGCCTCTCTTCGGCTTCTCTCTCGCTGGCTCACCCTTCCGCTCTATTACGTTCCTTCGGCTTCTCCAAGCATGTGGCGAGGAACTTGGTGTACGCACCAAAGTAA